TCACCTCTTATCAGGGTTTTAGATAAACCAACAAACAGGCCCGATGCCGACTGACCAATCAGGTCTGGCAAACGGCCACAGGACAAACCTGGGGGAGGAGCACTTCATGAGCCCAGTACCTCTGACTCAGTTTATATGATTTAAATACCAAAAAGTCTTTTATTTTATCATGAGCTCTTTTTATTGGTAACTTAGGCGGATATTTCTCCTTATTAAACCCAGAATTTGAGCCATGACCCAGAATGCTCCATCCGTCTGTCGCCGCCTCTGCGGTCGAGCTGGTCCAGCCTTGTGTCCTCGGCTCTCACGTGCGGCGCCCTGATGAAGACGGCAAAACAGAGAAGAGTTTCAGTCTGATGTGGAACCACATCTGTGTTCAAGCGTGTCCGTGTCTGTGACGTAGGTGAGCGTAGCTTCAGGCCTGACAGGTGGAGCGCATTAATGGGTCAAATGAAAACGCTGCTGTGGGGGGGGGTTACAGTCTACGTTGAGCCAGAATGCATCAGACGTCAGGAAAATGAAATGTGATGCTTTCTGGTAACGACGCAGGAAGTATCTTAAAATTGAAAATGATCAAATGTGAAGTTTACAGAAGTTTTCAGACCCTCGGCTGAGAACCTTGGAGAAGCACCTTTGAAGGCTTGTTGAGTTTGCACCCTCGCTGGGATAGTTTATCCCAGACTTCCCAACAGATCAGAGGGAAATGTCTGAACTCAGGATGATGTCAGTGAATCTGAAGCTGACGACTTCCTGTTGTGTGCTGCTCTACAAAAAACATCCTAAACTTCATTCAAATGTTGTTTGACGTTGATGTGTGAAAGTGACGCACACCTGTGACTAAAGTGTGACAGCTGTCAGCCACGAGTACATCGTTTACCAGGAAACTGTTGAACGAGCAGACGACAGCAAACATCTCACCTGCACAGTTCACCTGAATGACCGAGGAGGAAAGCCGTGGATTCACAGCTCCGCACTGCATCAGCGCAGACTCGGATCCACGGCAGTCAGAGAAAAAACGCCACATCGGCGTTTTGTTGGGAAGGTTGACGGCTTTGGTGGAAACAGCCATGTCGCAGCCCAGCTGTCTGCACACTATGCCCGCGTGGTTCAGGTCCCAGACCGTGGACTCTGCGCTCACCGGTTTGGTTTCGTTCCCGTCGTTGATGAGAAGCTTCCCAGCACAGGCAGCGGAGTCCTCTCTGCCTCTGACAACGCCGTCATCCAAACTCACATCTGAACCATCTGTTAGAGACAGACACGTCAAAATGAGGAGGGGCCAAAATGACCAACGCCACGAGGAAGAAGGGACGCTAACAGAGACAGGGAGAGAGGTGCCATTCAAAATTGTGTTTTAAATATGAACAAAATATTTTTACTAAAATGTAAAAACTCTAAAAAACATGTTTTTGTAAGTTTTTGAGCTACATGTGGAAAAAAGAGAGACTTGTAGTCATCCTTATGGGAGATCAGCACGAGAACAAAACAAACACACACATTCGCATCACAACACCATAAACCGCGTGACAAGTAACTGCGTGGGCAGTGTTGGGAAGGTTACTTTTAAAATGTAT